AACTATTTTAAGTGTGGGAATGGTAATGAAGTAATATTATTGTACATTAACACCCCAATATTTTATGTAAACATCCTATTTGGGCGCTGTTTTTATGTTTTAATGATCAATTGTACAGTTGTAAAGACTCTAAATAAGTAATTAGGGACTAACTGTTAAGCACAGATATAAAAAAATCTAGATTTACAATTCCATAAAAAAAGTTATGCTCAAAAGTGTTTCTGAATTAAAATTAATAAAAAATAGTAATAAGTATTCATCTTAGGACAGAACATGAATAAAACTTGATTTATTTGGCGTAAATTTTGAAATTCACGTGTTTCCGAAATATTGTAATATCGTCTAGACGTGTTTACATATGGCTGTAAACATCACTGGTTGTTTAGATATGAGAAAAAATTTGGTTAAATGCGCTCTATTTTCGGTGTTGATTTATTTTTAGTCTCTGTGCATCTTGGGTTTTTTGAATATCAATGTTTTATAAGCTTTCGCGCTATATCATTTCATGTGATGTATGTTGGTAGCTTAGATTATATATAGATAGAGTGTCGATCGAATTTCAAAAATGGGTCAACTTTTTGTCAACTAATTGTCAAATTAGCTGAATCGTTTTTTCATCAATGCTTTATATACTTACGCACATAATGTATCTTGACGTATCTATATTTAATTATTTAATATATAAAATTAGTTTCTACGCATTAAAAAGGCGCATAAATTATAAAATAAACTAAATATAGAAGTTATAAAGGAAACATTCATAACTATTTATCACACAAATTTGTATGAAAAAGATGGCCCGTTTTTCTCGAAGCATTTTGTATGGAGACTATCTATATAATCTAAGCTAGGTAGGTATTTCATGTGCAGTAATATCTACTACATTGATACTATATAATTTCGTTTCTAACTAGATTCTAATTAATTTAATGATTTATTGACATACCTACTTATTTAGTTAGAACATAAATTAATTCAATTCTATTAATATTGATTAAGTAGTAAATTTATTGAATTCGTCGACTCTTTTGCCGCCATTTTATCATCGCGATGAACTCACAGATAATTAATTAAGAACCATATGTTTGACAGATTAAAAATATTTTGAACATGTGCGCCAAACAGTCTTTAAGCTTTAGTATATATGTATCTATTAGTTTCCGGGTATTAATGCAAAGTTATGAGAATGATGGGAAAGAGGCCTCTCTGCATTATAATATGTTAATCTTTCGTAGTTTATGTCAGTTTAGATTCTGAAACGTTTTGAATGTTTGTTTTATATGAAAAATTTAAATTAAAATATGTCAATTTACGACATTATCTTATAGACAATTATTAAGAATTAAATTATTTTTGTAAATTATTGGTTTAACTAACCTATAACTTTATTAAATCTGTTAATTATATTATTTCTATATTTGAGAAAAAGTCGTCATTAGACCTTGTAGCAAGTAACTTGATTTATAACTATGCCAGCAAAATTGTAGCAAAACCACTTATTTAAAATTAAAAACTGAATCGATTTTGATAAAATTTTCGAAAAAATTTCGGATAATTTTTTTTTTATGTAATAAATCGGTTTTTAACTAGCAAACTTATGAGGTAACGAACGTAAAAAAAAATCCTTCTTATTGTAATTTTTTTTTTAAATTTAATACAATTTTGACAACTTTTCGTTTCACATTTTGAAACTGAACGTAACAAAAATATTTAGAGCAACATGGCAAAAAGCCGTTGATGAATGATTTAGCTGTGCGCTTGTTACATTTTTATATCCCATAAACAAACGCACATGTGGCGTCCGTGGGAAACTTCAGGCGGTTAATGATGGTAATGAGATTGCTTACCCGCTAATCGAAGTTTGTATGGCCTGTTGTACAGACCAACTGATGTGTGAATGCTTTCGACACCTAATTAGATGATTTGATGTCAATACAAACAAGCTATGTGGTTTGTTTCGCTCAATTATAGAGGAGGTTAATAATAGTTTTTTCTCAAACATGCTTGGAAATGTGAGTATTATTTTGACAATCTTCTTTGAGATAAATCAAAATTGCCGTACTGGCCACATATATGCGGCCAGCGGCCGGCAAAAGTTGTATGAAAATCCATATCTGTCGTGTTTTGCGGCCAGGTAAATTACTATGTAAACTCATATCTGTCCTGTAATTTAAAAATGAAATGACCTTTTACTTCGAAACACGGCTACCAAGAAGGTAACTAATGAAAGGTTTTATTAAAATTTTGAACTAGCTTGCAAATAGAAAGCTGTTTATTGAAAAAAAAAACAAAGAAAAATTATGGCGCGTGAAAAATTATTATTGTTCGTTATTCGTCATTGAACTTAAAAAGTAAAATTGTGTTTTTGATTTCCGCGCATTGTTTGAGAAAAGTACTATACAAGCCTTGGCCACAACTAGGCATTGATGGACTCACGTATGTGTGCCTCGGCTACGCCTCGGCTCACATTTGCACGTTCGTCCATCAATGTTTCAGTTGCTGGCCGCTGCAGTAATGTACTATTATTATACAGGAGTCCATATCATTGGTTGGTGATGATGATAATTTTGACCGGCACTGTCCACTGCTGAATATAAGCTTCCCTCTATTGGAGAGTTTTGCCAGTAGTTCTTAAGCTTGACGGGCGGGTTCGCTACCGCAGTTGGGCTATAGTGATGTTTTAATAGGGATACTGCTGCTCATTCCTCGGCCATTAAGTTCCCTTAGTGGCCTCTTACGACATCCACCGACATACCTGAGGGAGATTTTGTACAAAAGTCGATTACTTGGATACCTCTGTCCCATTCGTGTTTCAACCGTGAAGCAATTGTGTTTGCATGGCTGTGTTTCGGTTTGAAGGGTGGGATATGGCGTGAATTTACTGGGTACAGAGGAATAACACCTGAGTCCTCGGGAATGGCAACGCATGGGGGATATCATGAGCGAAACAGTGTACTCTGTTATGTCCATGGTACTGCTCATGTCTATAGGCGACGGTTACCACTTCCATCAGGTGGGCCGTCAGTTTGTTTGCCATTCTAAGTTGTATAAAAAAATCCACGTGAAAAAAAGGGGTCACCTATTCTATGCCAGAACAACTCTGCAACATTACTTCGTTATTTGATTAGAATTATCTTGTTTAATTCCGTTACCATTAGTATGCATGCGATTGCCAATACTACTATTATTATTACCAGAAATTCAACAACCTTTCACATTAGCTATAATTCTCCAACTGTCATTTCGTCTACGCACGTTTTGCGATACGTGTTTCACCTCTGAACGAGACATTTTCAGGCAAATTAAAAGACCGCTGATCGGAGCCTAATGTTAACCATTCGGCGCCCAAACTGCGATAACATTTAGTCTATTAAATTTATCCAACTTGTGACCGTAACCAGTAAGCATGTATGAATAGATTGATGAATGTGGTTGAATCGAAAGAGGTCCGTTTGTATCGGAGCATTTGGTGTTCCATTGTTTCTGCCTGACCCAATGGGAGACAGGCGTGACGGATATGTATGTATGTATACAATTTGTGAATAAGCTAATGGCTCGTCTGTTGTAAAATGGTGACCGTCGCCTATATACCAGATTAGAGAATACATTATAATACCATGGTACCTCATAGGTTGCTATTGAAAACTAATAATATTATGTTTCCTGTAGTTTAACTGCCATATTGCACCTTTTAAATCAAAACATAGCCATATAAGTGTAAATACGTAATGACAAATGTCTACGAGTGGGACAGAGGCAATCATGTGAACGAGGGGAAAAAGGCATTGTTAATAATGGGGATTAGTAGCCCCATTACTAGCAATACAGGTTGACCTCTTCACAGTTCCTCCTGGAAACCATCGTATTTTAATTCCAAGTGAATTCATAACGATGGGCTAACTGTCATGCGTTTTCATCTATCTTCCCTCATTGATGCTTTACTAGCATATATCGTTAGCACAGGCGAGGTTAAAATTCCATTATCATCCATTAAAAACAAAATCATGTCAACGACATTTGTACAGTTTTCTTTTTGGAATATTAATAGTTTGTAAACTACTTCGTTTTACAAATATATATTTATTTTAATGTAAGAGCGGCTCATGATTTAGGATCACGAATTGATGCCGAAACTAGTTGAGTTTTCGCGACCTAATTACACGCAAGTTAAACCAGTAGTAATTACATTAAAATATAATGTGTGCTTATGAATATTTTTTAACAATAATATTTTTATGCAATAACAATAGCTTACAGTCTGACATCCATGACTTCAAAGATCTAATTTTATTTATTTATTTCATCAACTGACTTTACAGACTCCCGATACGCTCACTCAGAAAAGCATCAGTACATTAACATATATAGTTACAAGGAATAATATTAAAAAAAAACTCACATAACAATAATAGAAATAAAATTATTTCTTAGTCTCTGAACACAAACACTCTGTGGTCAATAATATATTATAATTCCTACGTTGAATTTGTGTTTAAATAAAATTGCGTTTTACGCTTAATATATATATTGTTAAACACTTGATAGACGTCAATCAGAACAATACTATCAAGATCTTTTAAACACATGATAGATTGGCTGTGAATATTTTTTTATAGTGATATAAAAAATGCAATTATAGTTGGACGGAATCTAAACTGCTTAATAACATTGTCCGATGAAGAATGTCTTCATCACAAGAAACCATTTAGTACTGATGGGTAGTATCGGTCGTTGCGATGTTTATACATATACTGGGTTCCTTACTTATGAATTTACTAAACTGAGTACGCTGTTTTACGTCGCAGCGTTTCAATTGAAAAAAATCTTTCGAATGAAGTCGAAACAAATGTCGGAAATGACAAAAATCAAGTTTTAAATATAATATTTTGATTTATTCTTCTAAATACCTTTTTGATGTGAAAATGAGGATAAAATGATGATACTTAAGAACATTATAAGTTGAAATAACATTTGAAATTAAAAATCGAATTTTTTTCCAGGATACCGAGGTCAGAACTGCGAGATCGATATCGACGATTGTCCCGGGAACTTGTGCCAGAACGGCGCCACGTGTGTGGATGCCCTGAACGGTTATACCTGCGCGTGCCCACCAACTTTTACCGGGACAAGATGCGAGACCGACGTCGACGAGTGCGCTTTGAGGTGAGTACTTCATGTATCTTAATGCGGTTATGTTTGCTAACTGTGTTTCAAGTGAAGGGTGGGATATGCCAGTGAATTTACAGGGTACAGAGGAATAACATCTTAGTCCTCAGAAATGGCCACGCTTGGGAGTATCATGGGCGAAACAGTATACTCTGTTATGTTCATAGTACTGTTCATGTCTATAGGCGACGGTTTTCGTTGTTCATCAGGTGGGCACTCAGTTTGATTACTATTCTAAGTTACATAAAAAAAGTCGAATTCAGCTGTGATAAAAATATTATCTACTGTCAAATATAAAGAACTAATAAATAAGTAAAACCGATAGATGGCGACAGGGTGAAAACATCTATTGCTGTGTCAGCTGATGTAATATAAAAATTCCGAAAACTAATAACTTGACATTAAATTCCATCGCGTAACAATGGCATAATAAAAAAAAAAACAGAAAAATAACGGTAAAAAGCATAGACAAAATAAAGACACCGAAATAGCAAATAGTTTCTGACGCACGTCCCAGACACTTCATACGAAAACTATGTGATCTATGGTTGTTACTACTATATAAATCATAGATGTAATATTACCACAGAATATATAATGATATTTACGTATAATGTAATCACATATTTAAGATATATGTATATAAATACAGAAAACGTTTAAGCACGCACAAAAGTGTAATGAACTTGGTTACCAAGCTTAGTGCGTTCCTTATGGTCATATTCGAGTCACGGACAGAGGGTGAGGTCAGCTCGAGAGGTTGGTAGGGAGAGGTCATACTTTGCGGACCCATGAATTACTCTTCGATTATATAGGTAGAGTGTTATAAATATTTATCCAAAAATAGGTCAATATTTTTATTTATGTGTGCGTGAATAGGGAGATCTGGGAGATATTTCATCCAATTACTTGCAACACTGAAATGGCGGGTTTGGTTTTGATTTAAAAAAGTGTTTTTTTTTTTAGTCTTGCTCAAGAAGAATCCTCAAATCAAGAAGGATAATATAAATAAACAATACTTTTCAGAAATTGTCTGCTTGTCTGTGTGTATATATTCCTTTTGGTATTATGCGAAAACTATTGCACCAAACTAGTTGTGGTTTCCACAGTCGTGTTCCTGAATGTCCAATTTAAAAATTGATAGGTATATATTTAATCTTGAGATGTAATTGAGAAGTCGTTTATTTCATTAATTAACCTACTTTTTAAAGCTACGCATACGAAATAGCGGGTAGACGACTAATCTAAAATAAATACGAACTAACGCTTCAACAATTAATTAGTTTGATGTCACAATGTCATTAACATGCAATACAACATAATGCCATAATTACCAGAAGGAGACTTTATACAAAAGTCGTTTGCTTGTGCACCTCTGTTCCATTCGTGTTTCTACTGTGAAGCAGTTGTGTTTGCATGGCTGTTTCGGTTTGAAGGGTGGCATATGACAGTGAATTTACAGAGTACAGAGGAATAACACCTGAGTCCTCAGGAATGGCAACGCATGGGGGGTATCATGGGCGAAACAGTATACTCTGTTATGTTCATGGTACTGCTCATATCTACATACATACATACATCATATAAGCTACCACTTTCCATCAGGTGGGCCGTCAGCTTGTTTGCCATTCTAAGTTGCAAAAAATGCAGTAAAGGTTTCGAATTTGGTTTGCGCTTAATTTAGGGATACTAAGATTCTTAATTATTTGAGTTTAAATGTTTTCTTAGGTATATTACGGATAATTATTCTGTGTAGTGTCTTTAATAATAAGAAATTTATTCTTTCATATTATAGTACATATAGGTAGGTAATAAATAAAATATTGTCAAATATTATACGGCCGTCAGGATCTCAGCGCGGTCCAATTACGCCGGTATCCTGACGGAATGAAAGCTGGAACGGATCTTGAGATTATTCTTCATAAAATTACTACTTACCACATTCAAAATTGTACCCTGCTACGTGTAGATATGGTTGGAATTATAATATTACACCGTTCACGACACGATTCCTTGTAATTCGATATCGGACGCCATCTTGGGTGCACGCATGCGACGATAGCGGTGACAGATTAAAAACTGGATTGTCTCTGGTCGCTTTTTTTAATTTGCAGTTATTGTTTCTTGTGAATTTTTAAATCGTGATAAAATGTCTTATTTTGAAAAATATAGTCTATAAAAAGGCTGTATGAGTTATCTATAGTCTTTTTTTACATTTCTCAATTTTTCAAAGTTGTTTTAAAAATAGATAATGGTGTATTAAGGACCTTTTGATTGTAATGACAATGGTATTCCTTGTTCATTGAACACAAGGCAGTATAGATTGATAGTCTGAGCATGTACAAAAAGATAATAGTCATAAAAAGGTGTCATAGACCACAATTTTTTTTTTCTTTGGCTTTTATTTTAGTAAGTAGAATAAATTTTTATGTACAACCAAAATTAAACTGGCAATTTGGCAGTCCATTGATGACAAAAAGTAGCGGTAATTCTTTTTCGATAAATGCGTTATAATATGGTAAAAAATAACAAGATAATGAAACAAATTATTATCCAATCAGGTTTTGGACGAGGTAATAATATCTGCAATTGTATTGACTTTTTATAATGTATCATGACGCAGATGCTGTATCAAACTTTAATTACAAAGTAAGTGAGACAGTCAATGGCCTCTTGGCTGATATAGAGGAAAGAATAAGACACCTTCCCATAATAAGTGAAGTGAACCCATAGAAATTAAGACAGAATACAAAAAAACTTGCAGTATAAAAACCCATTGCAGAATTTTAACAAAAACTCTTCACCGGAATTTAAGGATACCATTACCTTTGCTTAGATTTTTTTTTTAATATCTAGCAACAAACATTTTCATCTCAAATGCTCCGTCGTTATTTTGATTTTAAAGCAACTTCAAAATGAAGGAGATTTCATTTTAATTGTATTTTTTTTTTAATTTTATGTTATGTTTTACCTTATAAATCAGTCAGTTGTAAACCTATTTGATGATTGGGAAATTCTTATTTTATTTGAAAGGATATAGTAATATCTTGGCTATATAAAAAATTTATCAAAATTTTGTTTTCAAATCGATATACCCAACTGATCGTGCCACACTTGAAGTCCCTTTTTTATTGTCAAAGTTCTGTATAGGCTACATTTATGCATCTGAAATAGTGGCATATAATTTATGAATAAATTTTTTAGTAGTGTAAATAAAAAGTAACAGGACACTAACTAAATTACTAAATTTTATTATACGCCAACATATCGGGTGAACGTTCATAACCATGGTTATATGGGATATTTGTTTTATTAAATCACTACAGGATATCAAAATAATCGTCTTATACTCCCATTCTATAAAATTAATCGCTCATATTTATACTATTAATAATTCCACCAAATACGGACATTGGGACCGCCCGCTGCAATACAACTGTTATGAAATAGAATCGAATTTACAAAATTTTAGTCATCATACAGTTCAGGAAATAATTTCCTTTATTACAACGTACATAAAGTTGAAAATCTTTAAGCTTTTACGTAAGGAGTGTAGGGATAATTTGGTTTGTACACTTATCCGTTTTACGTTCCTTGCCTCTTGTTTTTGATGCAAGGCCTTCAAGTTATTGTCTTATTAATATATTGAACTTTCTCGCCATTGTGTTTAGGTAGTGTTTTGTATGTACCACTGCTGATTGTATAGCGTCATATAATCCAAGGCAGTGGGTTTTAAAAATTAACAGATACGTGAGTGCCTAATATCGGGTTACTTTGGTAAAGTTTGGAAACTTTTTTTTTTTAAATAGGACGTAAACGAATTTATTGCCTTGTGTTTATTTGACACTTACACGAATCATCATCATTTGTAAACATCCAAAATCATCGAAGCTAAAGATCATGAGTTTCGTTTTAATTCAAAATCACTTTGGTTTGTTGAAAAAATCAATCCCAGAATTTGATTTGAATAAATAACCTCTTACATAAAAACAGATTGTGGTCTCGCATTAGAATGGACTACTCCTTCCTTTCCCGTGGATTTAGTAAGAGACGACAAAGGAAACTTAATGGTCGAGGAATAGGCAATAACGTTCCTTTTAAAACATCACTAAAGCCAGTTAGGCTTTAGTGCAGTTGCCAATCTGCCTGGCAAGCATGCCAACTACTGGCAAAACTCCTTTTGTGGGAAGACCTATGTTCAGCATTGTACAGTTAACTTCTGATATAATTATAAAATAATATCAGAGATTGTTAAGTTTATAATTGATTTACATATCTATTACGTCTGTCTCGCATTAGGGTAGGCAGAAACAGTGGAACGCCAAATGCTTCGAGTCAATTATTTTCAAATATTACTCAAATCGGAATTTAGGAAAGCGTGATAACATAGAGAATGATTAAAATACTTTTTATAAGACTCCACTTAGAAACATGTAAGTGACATTAGCCGAATACCAACAAGCTACTTAACGTGTCATTACAATGGATATGTTTATTCATAAAGCACACTCCAGGCCATAAATTTTTAGTACTTTAGATTATTAATTACGTGTATCGTCGCGTGTAAGGTCTTTAATTAGAATACTGTATTCTAATGGTTTTAATCTAAACGAATAGATAGTAGCTAGGTGTCTAAAAAATATTAATGTAACTAACAGATAAGATACTTGGATTTTATATTTTATGTAGGATTTTGATTTAAAATTAATATTAGCCAAGAAACTACAGTTATGTTTTTTACGAATAAATCTTATTTCATTTCAAAGATTATTATATTGATTTATTTATACTTTTGCACACATTAAGATATGTCTACAGGGCGGACTTAATGCCTGATGGCATTCTCTACCAGTCAACCCTTACGATAAACAAAGAGAGTAAATGGCGAATCTTAGATTTTTTTCAATTCAATTCAATTCAATTTATTTATTGCATTCTACAATATTATTATAAAAGATATTAGTAATTGATATAGTACATTGTATATCCTGTAGGGC